CAATAACTAAACTACTTTCGAGTACCAGGGAATTCCAGACGGCAAACAGACTCGTATACTTCTCGATGCGTAATCCAATTGTGCGTAAGAGAATACCCTTGAGACCGATTGGTTTGTGGCTTACTGGGAAAAATAAGCACTCGCAAATAGACAGTAACGTCATCACCATGGTATAGTGGGTCAGTTTTAGGTTGGTCTCTTGGGTCCCGTTAACCAGCACGTAGTCTTACAGATAGTATTGTGACACGTATGTCAGTATTTACGGGATTTCACAAGTCAATGAAACCCGTAGACCTGAAAAAATAACTTTCTTCGTGCTAATGATTCCCCGGGATATCTTAGTGCTGAGACTGCTGAGACCCTGGTCCCTGGGACCGGTTCACTGACTGACAGATTTGGTTTAAAGTGACCGAGTAAAACCTGAGTGTGAACTTCTTTTTCTCAGTCGTGATATGTCTGTGTTTGTGTGTGTGTGCGCGCATGTTGGAAGGTGTTTGAAGGAGAGTGGTTGTAAAGGAGTGAGTGCGTGGACGAATGAGAGATTAGGTTACCAGATTGAGAGTGGATGACCACGGTAAAACTAGGGACTCTACAAATCGTTTTTGGTATCACAACAGGAAATGTCTGAGATGGATTGCAATCACCTCGGCTCTTGACAAGATTGCGAACTTCACCTCTTCGGATAACCATCGTTTAACAAGTTTTATTGTTGGTTTCCGAACCGGGAACGCCAACGGCAACAGCCTCTCCCCAACAGTTCCTCCCTTTGATACCCAGCTTCGTTAAATGGGTTCTTATCCTTGTCACATCAACTATCATTCTCGTTGCGTCTGATTGTATCTGTGCTATCCTTATTGTTTAATGAGTGATACATGTAGCACTAAGAATAAATCATAGTTTTCCATGATTCTACATAAAATGGGAGCTTTCTACGAGGTGCTTTATGCGGTAGTTGTTGAGAAAGGTAGAGTATTCGACCCACTGCTACCCTGATGTTGATCAGCGGCCTACTCCTATATGAGAATTAGCTGTCTTCACATATAAAAATTAAAGAAACCGGGAAAATGATAGGGAGTGAATTCCGCGATTCAGACGTGCACCCGGCTGCCAACAGCTCCGCCAAACACAGATTCCCATGGTAACTCACTCAAAACATACTATTTTTGTCTATGGGGAAATCAGTTCATTCTGCTTAGACGGGATTTTAACAGTCCCGATCCAAGCGGTGAGGCGTGACGGCCGAAGCACCGATCACTTTCTGAGTTCCCGTAGAATGGGATTTGTTTAATTCACTTGAAGTGACAATGATTTGACTTGAAGTTGGAAAGCCATAGAGCGGACGGAAAGCCACACACATGGAATATATCATGAGACTTATTTTTACTTTACTGCTGCTGGTTCCTCGGAAAGGATAAACCGGCTCCAGACATGATCGTGAGCATGAAGTTACTTGGGAGTTTGGTTCAGGGTGCACCTCTAGCTTTTGCAAGACCAAGTGCAAACTGCAAGGTACCAGGAAGTAATCCTTCGCCTCGAAAGTAAGGGGGTCAGTGACTTTAGTTTTAAAAGGCCAGTCACATCGACCTTTTTTCACGAAACCGTCATTGGGCTTATACGACCTATAAACGGGAGCCAGGTGGCCAGCCTAAAACCCACCACATCCTGATAGTGCAGTCGCTGTTTGTTCGGCAACTGCTTATTTGTTACCGTGTGCCACAACTTATTCACCGCTGACCTTTTTCGGTGAAGGCAGTTCCCTATCCACAACCCGAGGACACGCCTGTTATCATGCAGCTCAGCTGAACCCGAGAGTAGGTCTTTAGTCTGCCTTAATCTAACAGGTTTGGACGTGAATAAAATACAGAGTGTAGCCTCAACGTATGTCAACTTAATGGACGATTGCATTCGTTTGTTCTATACTTTTGCGATCTCTTCTTCCTTGCTTGCGAAGTGAAGATAAACACGCTTCTTGTTTGCTATCGTATAATACCTTAGGTGGGTGTGGTATCATGCTTTTATGAATGAGTGACTCAGGGAATCCATTCTCTAGAAGAAAACACATTTTCATTATTTCCAGTTCCAATTTAACAGAGATGGAAGAACAAAGTTTCTTAACTCTGTTGGTTAAGCAGCGGATCAGATATTTATTCTACTGCAAAAGGGCTAATCTAAGTTTGTGATTGCATTCTCCGGTCCATCTTTTCTTACAATTAATGCTTCTAAGAATGGAGCTATCTGCATGGCGAGACAAGAACACGTCCAGAAATACGAGACCATCTGTGGTTTCCTTTTCCAGTGTGAACTTTACTTTCGGGATAAGCTTCAAAGAAGTTCTTAAACCGAATATCGTCAAGCTCGACTGATTCATGTAGGCGAGTATCCGTATGCTTTTAATACTTTTCAACTTATTCCCAAAGTAATTTGAACTGGCCATCATTTAGTTTAGTTCACATTCATTCGGCAGTAACTAAAGGAGACACTGTTCGCTATCGGTTAACTTCAATCGATATCCTTTCACCAATTTAGTTCTGAGTGAATTGCCTCAACTAAACCAAACAGACTGGAGTTTTCATATCAGCATTGAGTTTTATTGTCTTTTTTTGTGGTTGCAGCACAAGCGAAACAAGCCCACAAAACCATATTGTTCCGGATTGGCGTCCCGTGATAGAGTGACACGGAGAAAACGAACCCTCAATTTTAGGCAGATGAACGCGTGTTCGATAATCTACGTGTCACTCTCACTGGACGTTAATCCGATGTAGTATTCAAGTTATTAGCTATCCGGTTCAGAAACCAGACAGCATATAGTAGAATATAACGGGATATCGATTCAAGCCACGCGCTAGATATAGTCAAATCAAAGAATGAGGAACATAATGGGAAACAATGTATTTTAAAGGGGAAAACCGACCGTTCACCGTCACTCGATCTATGTACACGGTTGTTTATCCGTATTACATGTACAGATGCGTCTTAGTGGCACACAAAATACACGAGATTTAACAGAGAGAAAGTAAATGGTTCAAACGCAAGTTCAAGAGTAAGCGGATAGGTCGCTATAAACAAGTTGACATAAGAACGGATGGGGAATGAATAATAACCAATTACATCAGAATGGGGACACAGATCAAAAATACAGACATGAGACAGATTCACTGGCAGAATGAGTAATTAAACGCATTTATATAGAGTGCAGAATTAGAGAACACATATTTAGTTAGGTGATACCAGTGATGTTTGACAAATAACGAATAAGAAGGACGATCGGACGAATTGATAGCAAGGAAAACCGTCCAAGTGTACTATTGCATCATCAATTCTGTTGTGATCTAGGCTTTCTTGAAGCATGATCACACCATGCTAAGAATAGTCCTGTAGTTTAGTTAAGTTAGTAAACGAGTTTGACCATTTTTGTTTCTAAAGAACCAAGCTGCAACTGGCACACGTAATTGTGAGTCAAATGCGAAACTGGCACAATGTTCCCTCCGATTTTTCGAAAGTTCTCTGACCGTCCTTTGGCTTTATTCCTAATTGTTCTCTCAAAACAAGTAGTAACTTCAAGTTTGTTCCAAATGATTAAATATATGAAATCACGGATGTATTTGTAATACGCACGTACTTTTGGCTCTCGAAGCGCTGCAGAGTGAACGGACATGAGCTACAGGATGTCCCTCGGCTCGTATTCTAGCAGCTGGAGACGATACAATGCCTTATGGGATACAACCATGGCAGGGAACGGCGGTAAGGATGCGGGACACGGGTTGGCGACGAACTACTGACAAACAGGTCTTCAGTTGGTCGGGGTTGAAGTGAAAGCCTGCAAGGCAAAGTAAGCAAAAACGCCATGAACTAAAAAGGTCCACTGCGACACAGGCACTCACAATAAAATATTACTGGTGAGGTTGCCAAGCTCTACATATTTGGCGAAATTACGCATTCCTGTAGTTGCACAATGGTTGCCTTGGCAACCAAGGTAAAAGTTCTTGCGATTGACGTACAAAAACACCGGAAGGTATCGTGATAATTATGCAGTAAGTAATCTGAAGATAGAAAAACGGCTGGCGCCACCGAAATCTCAATGATCTCGCCACTTCAGTGGAAATTATTTAACATTTTGTAGTGCCAAGGCTTCAAATAGCTAAAATTGATTTTACCAATCAATTTGTGTTGTCTTCAGTGTTTCCTGTTCGAGTTCAGTCCTACAAGGATTGCGCTGAAGTGGAATCCAGTGGACTATGGACGTCAATGAGGCCGTTGAAACTGTTTGGCGGCATTCCCGAGTAACTATTTAATCACTATAATCAATTCCCTACGGAAGCCACCCTGGTCTGTGAAATTATTTTACAGTAGCCCAAGTAGTCTTGTCACAGTAAGTCAACTAGTATGGTACACTGGCAGGTGTCATAGAGCGTATCTAACAAATGTATTTTACTCCCATTGTATAAAATTCAATAATCATCAGCGGTTGCTGAGCATGGTAAATCACAATCAGAACGCAAACATACTATCAATTTGACCATCGATCAACCGATCAAACCGTTAGTCATTTTCCTAGTATCCACGATATAGCTCAACCCACCTTTCCGAGCTTGATGCAGGCATCCCACCTTGCACATCTAAACACTAGTCTCTAGGGCTATGACCCGGTTACAAACATTCTAACCCGTTTACATGTAACCTGAGGTCCCGGGTCGATAGTTCCGCGCACTGCTGATGAGACCCGAATAGGTTGAAACAGTTGTCCAAGGCTACCTAGATTTTCAGTTCACGTTTCATTTACTCTTTACACAACGAAAGTCACCAATGGGAATAACCCAAATTCTCCATTTCTCTCAGAATCATTTTACTTGACAGTGGCTGATTCAGTGCACCAAATGTATGCCATATACCGTATTTAGATGTTTTCTTCAAGAAATTAGTACATTTCTCTATTTTCATGACTGGTGATTAGCAACTGTTTTCATTTCATATTACTTGCTTTGTTGTTGTCCTTTCTCCAGGTAGTTACGCTGGAGAGTACAAGAACGGTATCCGTGAGGGTCTTGGCGTACGAACATCCATTCCATATGGCGAAGTGATCAACTTCTTTCCAGAAGAAGCTGCCTTAGCTGCGGAACTGCTCCTACAGGCTAAACGTGAAGCAGCCAATCGAGCGGCAGAACTTACTCGTGACGGACGCCGGGGCAGTTTACTCAGTCAACGATCCGGTGATGTGGCTGAACTGGAAAACGCGGACGACGAGAACCCCGGCACGGATGAAGATGAGCCCTATCTCACTCGGAAACTGAATCAAACTCAGGCCGCAGCGAATAGCACTACGCCCGCGATCACTGGCGGACTGCGAGATCTTCGTATGTCTAGCAAGTTCAAATGCGGTTTTGTGCTATCCTCGCAACGCAGTGAACTGGTGCTTCGACGGCAAAACAAGTTAGTAGGCAATGCACCACCTGCGGCGGGGACTGGTCGAAAGTCACGTGAGGCCGGTGCACGATCGGGGCGTACCAGGGCAAGGTCACTAACGAATTTGTTTGGGCGAAGTAGCAGCCGCGAATCCATCCCTCGGATGAAGCGTCAAGGAAGTGCAAATGACCGATCTAATTTAACTACCTACAAACCCATTCAATCGGAATCGGTGTTCACTTTAGATCAGGTGAGCGTGGTAACACAATGGGCATACGTGTCACGTGTATATTTCAATATAAACAGAATAAAATGAAGCCAAATATGGCTTTCAAGTCATCACCTCGCAAAGTAACTCACGTGAAACTTTCATTGGTAGTTCAAATTTTTCAGCACAAACTTCGCTTGTTAAAGTTAGACCAAATTAAATCTATTAGAGCACATCACAAGATCATTGAATACATCCATCCATTTGTATTGTCCGTGTAGTTTGAACCAAAGGTCACCACCGTCTACACACCACCGTGTACCACACATCTGACTGTACACAAATTTTCAAGGGCAGTCATATATTTAGTAAAAGGTGAAAGTAACCACCAATGGAGGTTTTTTTCAACGCAGTTACATAATGTGATAATATTTAACTGAGAATTACGAAAGAACATTACTCGGAACTTGTGGAATTTTAAGGCATATACAATTTTTAACAAATTTTTTTTTCAGCTATTCAGACAAAATCTCCTTCATTTGCGATGCTTTACAAAGAACACGCCCGTTTATTTGAATATCATGTATATGGTGATGATGTTCGTGAATGTTCAACGTTTTGGCTGAATATCAATAAATCGATGAACTGATGCGATTTATCAAGGCTATTCAAATAGCATCATGCTTCGATCATGGGAAGAGATAAACAAACATTTTAAGCATTGTTTCTGAACAAACTTTTACTTTTTTTTCAATTATCGAATAATGCACATTTTTACATTTAACTCACAACTACTGTTGAGTAGTGATTTGGGATAATTGACTGGCCTTAACTATCAGAGCTCTTAAACGCAATACATTTTACGGACTCTGGAATTCCCCTTGCCTGAATATAATGTGAAATGCCGGTTGAAGTTCGTTTCACATACCCCGCCAGTTTTGAACAAGTTCAGGGAAAAAAGTAATAGATAATCATCACTGTTTCGGCTAAATTTGCCCATCCACCAGAGTGCGTACCGTGATGACATTTTCACCTATCATCGTTAAGTTCACGCGGTTGAATCGGACCCTGGTGACATGGTGGTTAAACATTCATGTTACGTAGACTGCTTTAGTTAGTTGATATCCTTGTACCCAAACGCTGATCGATAGAGCAAGGGTGAAAATTCGATAGCTGCATACCGGAAAAACACATGGCGAGGGACACATTTACACCACCACCGCCACCCTCCTTTGCCAAACACCAAATGCCCCGTTCACTCTGTCGATAGATTCGACCAGACTGGCACT